TTTTTCCTATTCCTAACAATCTGTATTTAAAAAAATCACTGTAATTTTATATTCCGGGATAAGGGATGTTGCTGTGTAAAATGAATTCTTAATAGATATAACTATAGTATAGTTAATTCCCTTTATTTGTCGTTTATATGTAAATACCACCTGATATTCAACAACTACTTAACTTTTTTCCCAGTAGCGTATGCGCAGGGGAGCGGGGGGGGGGGGGGGGGGGGGCGGGGGTAGCGGCCGATCCCCCCACGACCATTTTAAAGATGGCGGCGCATTTTTAAGGGATTAATTAAATAAAATTTAAAACTAGTTCCGCAACAAATAAAACGACACCAAAAAACCAACAACAACAAAAGCAAACACATTATTGAAACTACGAATTAAAAACTATCATATGTACCCAAAATATCACATTTTTAACAACTCATCGCAATTAGATTTATAGCCTACTTCTTGACTTACTTATCGGCGCCTAGCTCAGCGCCAAGCATGTGCGAGAAGTTTTTTTGTCACAAGGTCTGGCCACTTTAGCTGTTATCCCTGGTGCATTTTGACCGTCAACCACCTACATATCGATCTCAATCCTTAAATTTAGTCTTTGCTTGAGTTGACAGGCTCAATTTTAAGATCAGTCTAGAAACGTAGGGTAATTGTTTACCTAAAGTGTGCCCCGTAGAATATGATTTTGCTTATCTTTGATATGTAAATACCAGCGCGAAATGAAACTGCGTGTTCCCTACCTGTCAACTGATCTAGAGCATTTTCAAAAGGCATCTATCCAGATGCTTATATTTTTAGGTGGATTGTGTTAAAAACTCTATGAAATTACATGTGTGTTTGGGGGTGGGGGTGGGGGTGGGAGGGGGAGGAAGAGGTAAAAGGAGGAAGGAAGCTGTATACATGTACAGAAAAAAAACGCATTACCACATAACTTCAAAACGTTAGTATGAGCCAAGATTATCAACACATACAGATGTACTTAAAGAACATATACTGAAATACTTCGGCTAAAGTTAGGTAAAACAATATAAATACATTGTGGACAAGAGTAAAACTGCTCCAAAAATGAATAAGCAAACTTCACGTTGTTTATTTTACAATCAGAATCACAGATTTTGAAAAACTTGTTTTTGCAGTTACCAGTAAAGAGGTGTGTAAGCAATATAGTGATCCAACCCATGCCTTATCATGATGTTAAAATCTATTCATTAAAGAACACAAAAAGCAGAAGCTAATTAATTTTTTTTTAAATGTACATTTTAAATATGCAAAACTAATAGTTTAATTAAAATTAAATATACTGTGGGCTATTATTCAGAATGTTGCACCTACTAGATTTGTTAAATTATAGATTTAAAGAACACTTTTATACTAACTCGACTTTTACAAAGTTTCTTTCTGCTGTGATGTTTTAGTTTGTTTAATGATATATATATATATATACATATATATATATATATATATATATATATATATATATATATATATATATATATATATATATATATATATATATATATATACGTACCGGCTAAGTCCTGCACTGGCCTATCTGTAAAGAACTTTGATTTTTTAGTAATCAGCATACACCCGGCATTGCCCACCATAACCACAACCAACCAAACCATAACACAAAAAAAAACCGCAAACATAACACAAACACAAATCAAAACTAAAACACAAAAACAAACCCAAATTCAAACACAAACCCAACCACAAACCCAAACCCAAAGAAAACACAAACTTAAACGCAAGTGCTCAAGGTCTAGCTAGGAGCGCCAAATCGCACCATGCTGAGGATCCAGCTGAACCGCGTGATTCAACTTAGTAAACGACTCTATAGTATCCCAACTTATTCTTAGTCTTATGCGCTCACTTCAACGAACGTAGGCGCCATAGTGTACACAGGAAGGCCCTGTGCACCAAATAGCACCCTCTTGGAGTGCCGGAATACGCCCGGATTAGATTCAGTTAAAGACTCTAGTAACCTTTCTAACCCATAGTCTATCGGACTGTTTAAAACAAAATTATGCACCATAGCGCTCACAGGATAGCCCACGGTGCCAAATCGAACCCTGCCGGGGCGACGGGGAAGCGTCTGATTTAATTTAGCGAACAATTACAATACGCCATGCTTATCCGCAAACGGAAAGAAGTAAACATAGAGAACGTTTAGAAGCTGGCTTCTTAACTGTTATAGATTTAAAAACATTATCGGTGTAAAGCAATGTCATCTGATGGAAACTTTGAAGCTACTAAACATAAACAAAGCTCTTAAAAGAAATTATTTCTTCAATCTTGCCTTTACAATCATACGTTGTAAAACTTTACACTGCTAAATGTACTATTAAAACGCCTGCTTAAAAAATGGTACGCTCTACGATCAGGTAAAAACAAGACGACGTTTATCATGTTTGGTGCGACATACAACAGCGAATTCCCATTCGTGCGCAAAAACAAAGCAAGACACAATAACCTGCTGGAATTCCCTTTCCGAATAAAGATGTCTTTTATTTACGTAAAATGTCTTTGATCAAATATAATAATTAGTAAACAGAACGTTAAGTGTATAAAAGAAATAAAAGGCAGTATTTAAAATATATGTGTTTTATTTACCAAATTGCATTTGATCAATCAACGCTTAATATGTAATTACTTTTTTTCCCAACACCAAAACAAAGTAATAAAAAGTAAAAAAATATTCCCCTGATGTAATGTTTTTTAAAGGGAATTAAGTGTGTTTTCCTAATTTATCAAGAGACATAATGAGTACTAAAAGTTCACACACTTAGAATGTGTGTGAAGGGTGATACATTTTGTTAAAATTTGTTTTATGTAGGCTACATGCCGTCTATTAACACATTAAGTTTGGAAAATAAAATTTGCTTTATAATACCTCAAGATTAATTTTTTATATCATTAATTTAGATGATGAGCACTTTAGATGTAGTCACGGGTCCGCTGCCTGTCTGCTGTCAAATACATACAGAATTCAACTTTATATATTAGACTAGCCGTCCTGGCCAGGCCATGCACTGGCCTCTCTGACAAACCTATCTGTAAACGACCAAGACGTGTGTTTAATAATAAGCATATACCGGGCATTGTTCGGGTTTAGGAACTATATTACTTTTAGAATTAACCAAAATCAAACACAAGAAAACGCAAATATAACACAAACGCAAACACATATACAAACAAAAACGCAAACCGAACCACAAACGCATTTTTTAAAATCTAGTTTAAAAACTAAATTGTACATATTCATTTAAATATAATATAAAAACTAACCAAAGATAGTACTTGTTTAAAAATATCAAATGTTACGTTAATGTATACATTTTTCCTATGGGAGTTCGCATTTTCTGATTACCAAAGATAGTCATATTTTTATCATGTTTAAAAATATATTAGATGTTTTTACATTTCATCCCGTTTGTTTAATGTGCATTTATATTTTAGCTGATATTTTATTACTAATTTACAAAAAAAAAAAGAATAACAAATTTACTGTAGGAACATTTACCTACTTTTTAACCACACTAGGCTAACTAACATATAGTGGAGGATTAGAAAAATCCATAATGGCAAAAGCATATTCCTGTTAGTTATCTTAAAATAATACGGTAATGGTGATCAGCACTGCAAAGGAAGTAGAGTTCACCTGTTTCTATGACATCTGCACAACGTGAGCCAGGAACACTTAAACGCTGAGTGTAGTAATGGACGTCTTTTGTTCTCTAACCCATGTTAGTTCTATAAATATAAATATAACTTAAAAAGATATTATTAACATTAGGTGCTATTATTAGGTGCTTTGACCACAGGTGCTTTGACAATAGGGGGTTTGACCATAATATATAGATTTTTAAAAAAATAGTAATTCTTATTTTATTTAAATTTATGATACAATTGATACGATTTTATACTTGTTTCCTGAGAGTCCATTAATAGAAATTAACATGTACTAAAAAATAGCCAAGAACGATATTTTAGTCTCCACACAAAGGCTGGTATTAGGCTTCATAGATTTATTTTAAATATAAATGGAACAAAAATAATGCGACATATAACAAGTTTTACAAATAAATAATGTAGATGCACTTGAAAAATACATAAATATAAAGGATAACAAAGGATAAAAAAAACATGCCAACAGTATAGTCAAAGAAGTAATACTTGTTAAATTTAGATGACTTGTATTTAAAACATGATGAATTAACATATTATTACATCCTGCCGCAATTTAAAATATAATTACACAACTTTTAAAGTTAATCCTTACAATTTTAGGACAAAGCGCTTGTTATCAAACGCCAGCATTGGACGAACCTCCTGTGATCAAAGACCCTATATGAACAAAAAAACTGTGATCAAAGACCCTACAAGGACAAACCACCTATGGTCAAAGGCGGACACAGCGCTTGTGATCATACACCCGTTGATCAAAGACCCTCTGCTGAGAAAACAGCTGTGGTCAAACCCCCTATGGTCAAAGCCCCGTTATGGTCAAACCCCCCTATGGTCAAACCCCAAATGGTCAAAGCACCTGTGGTCAAAGGTCCGCGCAGCATAAATAAAAACGTGGCGTTTGGCGATACATATTCTAAACAGCATGTTCAAAAATGTACCCAATATCATATACATAATGTTATTAGTATTATTTATAAGTTAAATAAAACATTCTTGAGGATTTACAGTATGATATTCATCAATAAATTACAGTATAGTTTAACATAATTTTAAACTACAGATTAAGACAACTTTTACGTAAATGTGTCTTTCTACGACATGTTGTAACACATACTTGAAGCAAAATTTAAATCAAAATGATAAAATCATAAAATTAAAATTATCTTAAACACATACACACATCAGAGTAATAATTGCGTGTCTATTATCCATTATTTTTTTTAAAAAGAATGCTTCCGCATCAGTTGCATTTATTTTCTTCATAACTTGGCAGTTTTTTTCTTAACAATTTAGGCAAAGAAAATTGTTTACAAGTCCTTCTCAAACCACCACGTATGATGAGTAGGTATTCCTTTTGGCCGTCTTAGTTCCTCAGCTGTGTAGGTGAAAAATTCAAAATCTCCAGTGTCACTAAAATCACGTTTCCAGCTATTTAAGCGTCCATCAAATTGCTCAACAGACATCTTAAAAGCTGAAGTCTGATTAGAGTTTCCAGATTGCAGAAATTTAAAGTCTTCTACCATAAACTGAATTCCAGATCGTAAAATCAAGTACCTTGGGCCATGCTTAACATCAAAATTGTTAGCATTAAATAGAATGCAATCATTTATAAAACCAATGCAAGCTTTAAATAATGGACCCATTTTCTGCAGTTTCAAGTCGTTTAGATTTTCTTTCTTATTTCTAAAATCAAAAGCTGCTTTTAATACATCTTCAGGTAATTCTCGATAGAAATTTTCTGAATAACTTTCACGTCTTTCTACTTCATATTGTATCAATCTTTCTAGCCTGAGCTTGATACGCTCATATAACAAATCTGTGGAAGTAAAAAATGAAATTTAGTATACGCTTTGGAACGTTTTAAACGTGCTAGCCTATGCTTTATGCAAAACATCTGGTGAAATAATAAACAGATGAATCTGGTACCGTTTTACGAGTCAAAAATACTGGCAAATTAAAAAAAAAGTCTAACAAGAAGTCAATTAAATCAAACAACCATTGGGCTAAACATTATGTGAACTTGCACGAAAAACCTCAAATATCAAATAATTACGTTCATTAAACTAATGTTGACATGTTACTGCTTCAAAAAACACATTTAATACATTAAATCAAGCAGATATATTTTAGAACACACAAAGAACTAAACAACCACTTAACAGTACATGTCGAAATTGTAGGGGAACCAGCATACTTAGCACGATCAACAAATACACATTAAATAACTTGAAATCCAATATTCGGTAAATTAACAAGCGTAACAACACCTTGTGACCTACTTAGGTCTGGTAAATTTTATTTTTACATTTGTTATTATACCATAAATGGTCTGTGGTGCAATCACTGGTTTTTTCCACTGTCTTAAGAAAGTCTTAGACTCAGTACTTTTCCATTATGAGATGATTGGTTGATTCGGACCAGGTGATACCCCAACCAATAGCCTTATGATTTGAAGGTGACCTTCCATGTTGCCTAAGTCGATAAATAGACCGCGCACACGTTTCTCTGGGCAGTTACTTGACCAGACATCGTTGAGAGATAATAAGCCCTGTGTGTCGCCGTGTAGTGCTAAGTAGTTTAAGCAGCATATTCTTATATTACTTGTGGTTAAGTAATACTGTATGCTTGTAGAAGTGTTGTGTAAACTGTGGTAATTTTTCTGAAGTGTTAAAAGCTGTGATAGTGTATCATATTATTTTTTCCCACAAATTGTAAGTTGGGTTTTGTTCATTATGTAAATCTATTTTATCCTGTATAAATCTTGTGTCCTGCCTTGAATTTGTACACTCATTAAAAGTTATATGCAGATTAAATGTATTGTTGGCATCAGTAGTTTCTCTAGTGTTTCCCCTAGACGTCAAGTACGAGTCCTAGTGAACTATTGTGTTAGCTTGCTTTTATTTAGGCTTTTCGCCATCTGTGTATAATCATTTAAACGAATCCGGGAGCGTTCGCCAACTATCTGGCTGATAGCTTGGTGTTCGTTACATCTTCAGAATACCCGATAATCAACATTATTCGCACGATACTTCAGCCTGCCAAAGTTGAAAAGACTTCGGCACATGGAAGTTACCAACATAAAACCACACATACACTTAGATTTACCAAACCTAAACAGTTAAAAACAACAAAGTATAATGTGTAAAATAAGTAGAAGCCTAACTACATTCACTAATTAGCTGAATAACTCTCAAAATAGAATAGATGAAATAGAGAGTGACTGGCTACACTGCAAACACACAAATTCGTACAATAGATACTTGAGGATGCGAAGAACAGTACGATTGAATACGTGAGAAAATACATTTTAACAATAAACATATCTACAGCAATAAAACTAACAAAAGCAGGATGAAACATGACCCCGAAATTATCAAATAAAAATTGAGTTACATTTACCATCTATTTGCATCGGAGAAATTTGTAAAGCTGTTTCGGTAGAGAGTTGGATACTTGACCATTCTTCAACTTCCAAAAAAGCTGTTGTAGGCCCAACTTTAAAGCCGTTCTTAAAATTTTCTGGTAAGGATTTCAGAATTTCATCTTTTTTCGGACCTTCATTGAAATTGGATATTACAATAAAGGCTTGTTTTAGCAAAGGTAAAGGCTGACAAAATACACTGTTTAATAATTCTTGAAGTTTGCTATTAAATGAATCGTTCAACCTTAATTTTCGTTGTTGCTCTTCACGAATGTAATTTAAATCATCCGAAGTTATGTAACCCGACGATAAAATATATTTTGTCACATCCAGATTTTTGTTTTTGATTGATAACATGAAAGCCGTTTCATTACCATGCTGTGATATTTTTGTAGTTTTCAGCATTACTCTGTTGCAAACCAGTAGTTTTAAATTATTAAACCAATAATTAGAAAATAGTACCTCAAGTCTCATAGATAATAAAAGACTCCTATAATTTTCGTTAATTAAAGGGTTTGCTCCTCTTTTTAAAAGTAGCTCCACACAAGAACCTGAGTAATAATTTTTATTTTGTAAGTTCTGTAAACAACATATAAGTGGTGTCAGGCCTTCTTCATTAGCTTTATTAATATCAGCTCCATTTTCTAATAAGTCGCTAATTATTCCTAATGAGTTGAGCCTTGAGGCAACCATTAAAGGTGCTATTCCTGTGGAAGACATAATATTGACGTCAGCACCTCGCATCAGAAGAAGGTTCATTATTCTTTTTTTGTTCATGGAGATAGCAGAAATTAATGGTGGATCGGGAACAGCCGAATTAATGTTACAACCTTCGTTAATTAATTGATCGATGACGCCTGATCTGTAGTGTCGTATCGCATTTGTTATTACACTTTCACCGTTTATTACGTAATTAATGTCAGCTCCTGCGGCACACAAAGCGTTTACTACATCAACATCACTGGCTAATGTTAGCGGTGTATTACCGTCTTTCGTCTGCTGGTTGACATCACATCCCATTTTTATGATACGTTTTACAGCCTCCAGGCAGCCGTTTTCTACAGCAAAGTGTAGTGCATTGAAGCCATTTTCAGTACATATATTGATATCAGCTCTGTAGTCTAACAGCTTTAGTGCAATTTCCTCGTTTTCATTTTGTAACGCAACTATCAATGCAGTATTACCTGTATTATTTTGTTTGTCAATAATGTTACATAAGTCTTTGTTCATTTTCTGTCTTTTAACGGGAGGTGGATCCAAACTATCATTTTCTTCACTCATCTCACTTTGTCCAGGAAATAATCTTTTAAGTAAAACATCCATAATATTACAATAGTTTTTTGTAGCACTGGTTTCAGCAGCACAGTGTAGAACAGATTGCCCATTACCATTTAAATGTCCAATATTAGCCGAATTATTCAACAAAGAAGTTACGGTCTCAATGTTGCATTGGGAAGCAAAGTGCAGTGCGGTGTTACCATCCTTATCTGCAATATTTACATCTGCCGAGGAAGTGATGAGATAATTAACGATTTCTGTTGCTTTAAAATATTGGTTTCCTTTTAAGTCCCACACAATACAGTCATCGGCATCAGCATCAGGGTTGCTACCAATAGAGTTTTTCTCGTTGAAGTAGTCAAGCTGCAGTTTTGCAGCCAATATTAATGGCGTTTGCTGATTTTCATCAAGAAAATCAACGTTTCCACCGGCTTTAACTAACAATCTCACGTGTTCTAATTTTCCAGACAAAACGCAATAATGTAAAGGCGTTTTTTTAGTGCTATCCGGAGCATTTACATCCGCTTTATGCTTTAATAGAAGATTAATAATTTCTGAACTTTTTTGTAACTCCTTCAACCTTTCATCCTCACTCATAGTATCATAATTGTCGTATGGATATACTAGTATGCCGACTCGTGACTCTGCTGTGTAGGCAGCAAAATGAAGAGCTGTTTTCCCATCTTTATCTTTAGAATTGACGTTAACGTTTGAGGAGATAAGATATTTTACAATATCCGTTGTGTCGTTGCAGTGAAAGTTACGAAAGTGCTGACTCAGCCATCTTGAAGCCAGTATTAAAGGCGTTTCATTATTTTTATTAGGTAAAGCAATGTCTGCTCCGGCTAAAGCCATCATCTTAAAGTGTTCGAAATTCCCAGTCTTGGCGCTGTAATGTACAGCAGTGTTATCATATTTATCACGATGATTAACATCAGCTCCCTGTTTTAAAAGTTGAATAATAATATCGGTAAATGACCTCTGCACTGCGAACATTAGAGGAGTAGTTTGGTCGATATCAGATAAATTGACATTTTTCGTGTACTTAAGTAAGATCTTTGCTGCGGCGGAATTGTGGTTGTACTTAATGGCAAACAGTAATGGGGTTTCAGACTTTTTATTTCTTATATTTAAATCCAGAAAGCTACTAAGTAGAATCTTTAGTACATCAGCAGGTTTAAAACAAGAAATTTCAGATGTTGACTCTAATTCTGTTTTATAGGATTTTTCATATTGACTTATCATGAAGATAGCATAATGAAGCGCCGTGTTGCCATTTATGTCGGCTGTTGATACATCCGCTACACGTTCAATTAAATACCGGACTAGGTCTGTGTTCATTAGAACTACCACCATCGATAAAACAGGAACTTGGTTTTTTCCAATGCGTACATTAACGTCGGCACCTTTCATAACTATACCTTTTATATTTCTCACATATTCTGCAGCAGTTTTACTTGATAAATAGATTGACCTGGATTCAACTTCTTTTTCAATACACATTTCAAATATTTCATAGTCTAAAATTTTAGCAAGTGGGGTCACTCCAAATTGATCTTTAGTGTTAACTGTGGCACCGGCATTTAATAGTTTCCTAATGGCAGAAATATTTCTATTCCTTGCTGCCACATTCAAAGGCGTTTCACCTTCAGAGGTTTCAGCGTTAACATTAGCACCAGCTTTAATTAAAAAAGCAACTTGTTCAATGTTTTGTGTTTCCACTGCAAAGTGTAATAGAGTCCAGTTGTTTCTGTAGCTAGATTCGGTATGAGAATTTGTTGTATTATAAATATCTACACATTCATTTGTTGTTTTTTGTAAGGACTTTTTAAAAAATGTCTCACTTTCCTTAAATACAAAGTTTACGTCTATTACTTTATTCAATAACATTTGTAAAAGTTCAGGCTTATAGGTAAATCTATGCGTTAAAAAAATGTAGCTTCCCAAATCAACTAAATCTTTTACTAAATCACTACGTCCATGTTGAAACGCTACGAAAACTCCATCTTTTTCAATCCCTGAGTCCCATTGATTTTGAGCTAGACGCTTCTTTTCTCCAGACACAACAGCATCCAAAAAACCATTTTCTCTGGCCATATCTAAAGCCTCAATGCCCTTCTCACAAGAAAGGAAAGCGCCATGTTGAAGCAGTTCTCGTACAGCAGTTGTGTGCCCCTTGTCAACAGCAAGAGACAAAGCTGTGTAGCTGCCACCAGAAGATCTGCTGATCTCCAGATAAGCTCCAGCTTCAAGTAGAGCTCTCAGAACTTGGAGGTTGTCACGTTCCACTGCCAGCATTAATGCTGTGTAGCCATTGCCGTTTTTAGAATTAATTTGTATTTTGTTAATCTTTGCATTTGTTTGTGCGGCTGTGAAAATTTTATCCACGATGCCGTCACTTACTCCACTTGAAGCCATTCTGTGAAACAATATTGTGTATAAACTTATTTTTATGTATAGGAACTAGGACGAAAAACATCTTTACTTTGAAAATAAAATTAAAATTTCAACACTATTAATAATGCAGTATATATTTTACTAAATATCCATCCATATACGGGAATGCTAAAAAAATTGATTAGCTTTCTTACTTCCTAGTTTAACAAAAAGTCTGGTGTGGCATGTGTAGCCGGATGTAACGATTTTTTTTTGTAGGCTAGTGTGTAGTCTGGTGTTTCAAGTGTAGCCTGGTGTGGCTAGTTGTGTGTAGCCTGGTGTGGCTGATCTGTATAGTTTGGTGTGGCTAGTTGTGTGTAGCCTGGTGAAACTAGTTGTTTGTAGCCTGCTGTGGCTAGTTGTGTGTAGCCTGGTGAAACTAGTTGTTTGTAGCCTGCTGTGGCAAGTTGTGTGTAGCCTGGTGTGGCTAGTTGTGTGTAGCCTGGTGTCGCTAGTTGTGTGTAGCCTGGTGTGGCTGATCTGTATAGTTTGGTGTGGCTAGTTGTGTGTAGCCTGGTGTGGCTAGTTGTGTGTAGCCTGGTGTGGCTAGTTGTGTATAGTCTGGTGTGGCTAGTTGTGTGTAGCCTAGTGTGGCTAGTTGTGTGTAGCCTGGTGTGGCTCATCTGTGTAGCCTGGTGTGGCTAGTTGTGTGTATCCTGATTTGACTAGTTGTGTGTAGCCTGGTGTGGGTAGTTGTGTGTAGCCTGGTGTGGCTAGTTGTGTGTAGCCTGGTGTGGCTAGTTGTATGTAGCCTGGTGTGGCTAGCTGTGTGTAGCCTGGTGTGGCTAATTGTGTGTAGCCTGGTGTAGCTGATCTGTGTAGCCTGATGTGGCTAGTTGTGTGTAGCCTGGTGTGGCTAGTTGTGTGTAGCCTGGTGTGGCTGATCTGTGTAGCCTGATGTGGCTAGTTGTGTGTAGCCTGGTGTGGCTAATTGTGTGTAGCCTGGTGTAGCTGATCTGTGTAGCCTGATGTGGCTAGTTGTGTGTAGTCTGATGTGGCTAGTTGTGTGTAGCCTGGTGTTGCTATTTGTACGTAGCCTGGTGTCGCTGATCTGTATAGTCTGATGTGGCTAGTTATGTGTAGCCTGGTGTGGCTAGTTGTGTGTAGCCTGGTGTGGCTAGTTGTGTTTAGCCTGGTGTGGCTAGTTTTATGTAGCCTGGTGTGGCTAGTTGTGAGTAGCCTGGTGTGGCTAGTTGTGTGTAGCCTGGTGTGGCTAGTTGTGTGTAGCCTGGTGTGGCTAGTTGTGTGTAGCCTGGTGTGGCTAGTTGTGTGTAGCCTGATGTGGCTAGTTGTGTGTAGCCTGGTGTGGATGATCTGTGTAGCTTGGTGTGGCTAGTTGTGTGTAGCCTGGTGTGGCTAGTTGTGTGTAGCCTGGTGTAGCTAGTTGTTTGTAGCCTGGTGTGGCTATTTGTGTGTAGCCGGGTGTGGCTAGTTGTGTGTAACCTGGTTTGGCTAGTTTTATGTAGCCTGGTGTGGCTAGTTGTGTGTAACCTGGTTTGGCTAGTTTTATGTAGCCTGGTGTGGCTAGTTGTGTGTAGCCTGGTGTGGCTAGTTGTGTGTAGCCTGGTTTGACTAGTTTTATGTAGCCTGGTGTGGCTAGTTGTGTGTAGCCTGGTGTGGCTAGTTGTGGGTAGCCTGGTTTGACTAGTTTTATGTAGCCTGGTGTGGCTAGTTGTGTGTAGCCTGGTTTGGCTAGTTTTATGTAGCCTGGTGTGGCTAGTTGTGAGTAGCCTGGTGTGGCTAGTTGTGTGTAGCCTGGTGTGGCTAGTTGTGTGTAGCCTGGTGTGGCTAGTTGTGTGTAGCCTGATGTGGCTAGTTGTGTGTAGCCTGGTGTGGATGATCTGTGTAGCTTGGTTTTGCTAGTTGTGTGTAGCCTGGTGTGGCTAGTTGTGTGTAGCCTGGTGTAGCTAGTTGTTTGTAGCCTGGTGTGGCTATTTGTGTGTAGCCTGGTGTGGCTAGTTGTGTGTAGCCAGGTTTTGCTAGTATTATGTAGCCTGGTGTGGCTAGTTGTGTGTAGCCTGGTGTGGCTAGTTGTGTGTAGCCTGGTGTGGCTAGTTGTGTGTAGCCTGGTGTGGCTAGTTGTGTGTAGCCTGGTTTGGCTAGTTGTATGTAGCCTGGGGTGGCTAGTTGTGTGTAGCCTGGTTTGGCTAGTTTTATGTAGCCTGGGGTGGCTAGTTGTGTGTAGCCTGGTTTGGCTAGTTTTATGTAGCCTGGTGTGGCTAGTTGTGTGTAGCCTGGTTTGGCTAGTTTTATGTAGCCTGGTGTGGCTAGTTGTGTGTAGCCTGGTGTGGCTAGTTGTGTGTAGCCTGGTGTGGCTAGTTGTGTAGCCTGGTGTGGCTAGTTGTGTGTATCCTGGTGTGGCTAGTTTTGTGTAGCCTGGTGTGGTTGATTTGTTTAGCCTGGTGTTGCTAGTTGTGTGTAGCCTGGTGTGGTTAATTATGTGTAGCCTGGTGTGGCTGATTTGTTTAGCCTGGTGTTGCTAGGTGTGTGTAGCTTGGTGTGGCTGATTTATGTAGCCTGGTGTGGCTAATTGTGTGTAGCATGGTGTGGCTAGTTGTGTGTAGCATGGTGTGGCTAGTTGTGTGTAGCCTGGTGTGGCAAGTTGTGTGTAGCCTGGTGTGGCTAGTTGTGTGTAGCCTGGTGTGGCTAGTTGTGTGTAGCCTGGTGTGGCTAGTTGTGTGTAGCCTGGTGTGGCTAATTGTGTGTAGCCTGGTGTGGCTAGTTGTGTGTAGCCTGGTGTGGCTAATTGTGTGTAGCATGGTGTGGCTAGTTGTGTGTAGCCTGGTGTGGCTAGTTGTGTGTAGCCTGGTGTGGCTAGTTGTGTGTAGCCTGGTGTGGCTAATTGTGTGTAGCCTGGTGTGGCTAGTTGTGTGTAGCCTGGTTTGGCTAGTTTAGTGTAGCCTGGTGTGGCTAGTTGTGTGTAGCCTGGTGTGGCTGATCAGTGTAGCCTGGAGTGGCTAGTTGTGTATAGCCTGGTGTAGCTAGTTGTTTGTAGCCTGGTGTGGCTAGTTGTGTGTAGCCTGGTGTGGCTAGTTGTGTGTAGCCTGGTGTGGCTAGTTGTGTGTAGCCTGGTGTGGTTAATTATGTGTAGCCTGGTGTGGCTGATTTGTATAGCCTGGTGTGGCTAATTGTGTGTAGCCTGGTGTGGATGATTTGTGTAGCCTGGTGTGGCTAGTTGTGTGTAGCCTGGTGTGGTTAATTATGTGTAGCCTGGTGTGGCTGATTTGTATAGCCTGGTGTGGCTAATTGTGTGTAGCCTGGTGTGGCTAGTTGATTGAAGCCTGGTGTGGCTGATATGTATACTTTGGTGTGGCTAGTTGTGTAGCCTGGTGTGGCTAGTTGTGTGTATCCTGGTGTGGCTAGTTGTGTGTAGCTTGGTGTGGCTAGTTGTGTGTAGCTTGGTGTGGCTAGTTGTGTGTAGCCTGGTGTGGCTAGTTTTGTGTAGCCTGGTGTGGTTGATTTGTTTAGCCTGGTGTTGCTAGTTGTGTGTAGCCTGGTGTGGCTAGTTGTGTTTAGCCTGGTGTGGCTAGTTGTGTGTAGCCTGGTGTGGCTAGTTGTGTGTAGCCTGGTGTGGCTAGTTGTGTTTAGCCTGGTGTGGCTAGTTGTGTGTAGCCTGGTGTGGCTAATTGTGTGTAGCCTGGTGTGGCTAGTTGTGTGTAGCCTGGTGTGGCTAGTTGTGTGTAGCATGGTGTGGCTAGTTGTGTGTAGCCTGGTGTGGCTAGTTGATTGAAGCCTGGTGTGGCAGATGTGTATAGTTTGGTGTGGCTAGTTTTGTGTAGCCTGGTGTGGCTAGTTGTGTGTAGCCTGGTGTGGCTAGTTGTGTGTAGCCTGGTGTGGCTAGTTGTATGTAGCCTGCTTGGCTAGGTGTGTGTAGCCTGGTGTGGCTAGTTGTGTGTAGCTTGGTGTGGCTCATCTGTGTAGCCTGATGTGGCTAGTTGTGTGTAGCCTGGTGTGGCAGGTTGTGTGTAGCTTGGTGTGGCTAGTTGTATGTAGCCTTGTGTGGCTAGGTGTGTGTAGCCTGGTGTGGCTAGTTGTGTGTAGCCTGGTGTGGCTAGTTGTGTGTAGCCTGGTGTGGCTAGTTGTGTGTATCCTGGTGTGGCTAGTTGTGTGTAGCCTGGTGTGGCTAGTTTTGTGTAGCCTGGTGTGGTTGATTTGTTTAGCCTGGTGTTGCTAGTTGTGTGTAGCTTGGTGTGGCTGATTTATGTAGCCTGGTGTGGCTAATTGTGTGTAGCATGGTGTGGCTAGTTGTGTGTAGCCTGGTGTGGCAAGTTGTGTGTAGCCTGGTTTGGCTAGTTGTGTGTAGTCTGGTGTGGCTAGTTGTGTGTAGCCTGGTTTGGCTAGTTTTATGTAGCCTGGTGTGGCTAGTTGTGAGTAGCCTGGTGTGGCTAGTTGTGTGTAGCCTGGTGTGGCTAGTTGTGTGTAGCCTGGTGTAGCTAGTTGTTTGTAGCCTGGTGTGGCTAGTTGTGTGTAGCCTGGTGTGGCTAGTTGTGTGTAGCCTGGTGTGGATAGTTTGTGTAGCCTGGTGTGGCTAATTGTGTGTAGCCTGGTGTGGGTAGTTGTGTGTAGCCTGGTGTGGCTAGTTGTGTGTAGCCTGGTGTGGCTAATTGTGTGTAGCCTGGTGTGGCTAGTTGTGTGTAGCCTGGTGTGGCTAGTTGTGTGTAGCCTGGTGTGGCTAGTTGTGTGTAGCCTGGTGTGGCTAATTGTGTGTAGCTTGGTGTGGCTAGTTGTGTGTAGCCTGGTGTGGCTAGTTGATTGAAGCCTGGTGTGGCAGATGTGTATAGTTTGGTGTGGCTAGTTTTGTGTAGCCTGGTGTGGCTAGTTGTGTGTAGCCTGGTGTGGCTAGTTGTGTGTAGCCTGGTGTGGCTAGTTGTATGTAGCCTGCTTGGCTAGGTGTGTGTAGCCTGGTGTGGCTAGTTGTGTGTAGCTTGGTGTGGCTCATCTGTGTAGCCTGATGTGGCTAGTTGTATGTAGCCTTGTGTGGC